AGCCAAGATAATGATATCAAACCAAACCCAAGAATTCAGTACCAATAGACCTATACTATTACTAAAGGGTTGTGTAAGCAGAAGGAAGGTGATCTCAGAAACATGGAAATACAGGAAGAAATTAAAGAACAGAGGAAGGGTAACTATATGAGCAAGTACAGACTAGCCACAACACTAGTGAAGTTTATGTGTAGAATAAAGTGCATGACAACAGTGCAAAAGATGGGGGTTGATAAATGAAACTGTGAAATTCTGACCTGATCAAGGAAGTGAAGTAAAACTTCGATTTCTTTGGTTTATTTACATGGTATATTCTCTAAGAACCACTAAATTATTTTAATAAAATTATTAAATATATAATTTTAATATAACTAAAATAGAATTTTAATAATTATAGTTAAACTAAGGGACGCCTGGGTGGCTTAGTCAGTTGAGCGTCTGCCTTCAGCTCAGGTTGTGATCTGAGGGTCCTGGGATCAAGTTCCATGCCTGGCTCCTTGCTCAGCGGGAGCCTGCTGCTTCTGCTTGTGCTCGCTGTCTCGCGCGCGCGCTCTCTGACAATATTTTTTTAAAAAGGTAGATAAAATGGAAAACAGTAAAATGGTAGAAACAAACCCAAATAATGTCAGCCATTTATATTAACTAAATGTGAGCTTGATTTTATGGTTAAAGATGAACAGGATTAAAACAAAAACAAAACCCATATGCTGCTTATGGGAAAGATTCTTTAAATATGAAGTCACACAAGTTGAAATTACAAAAATGGATGGGATTCCAGGTAGATGACAACAGCATAGATTTTTTAATCTCCCTAGATGTCCTTTTACAAACATACAGAAAAACTAAAATATCTAATTCAAAGTTCATGGGCAACATCTATAACCATTCAAGGTTTTGTGGCATCCCCTAAAAAAAAAAAACAAGATAGCTGGTGGGATAAATAACTGAAAGCTACAAGATCAGTGTCGTATCAGTAGCTGTGCAGGAGGTGGGAAAGGGTAACTACAGGTGTATGATGGACCCAAGAACTCTGAAATAAAACTAGTTCAGCAAACTGTTTTGAGAAGAGCAGCTATGGTGGCCATTTCTCAAAATGACCCCCAGTATTTCCCGCTTCCTGGTGTTCGTTCACACCTTACATAGTTCCCTCCCACATTTTACTTAGGGTTACTTTTGTGACCAATAGAATATGGCAGGAGTGATGGTTTACCACTTCCAAGATTCGGTTATAAAAACATTGAAGCTTCCATTTTGGGCTCTCTCAGATCACTTCCTTTGGGGGAAGCCAGCTGCTGTGTTGTGAGGATTCATACACCTGGTGGTCTTGCCCTAGTTGAGCCTTTAGATGAGACTGCGACTCTGGTCAACAGCTTGACTGAAACTTTGCAAGATTTTGAGCCAGAACTACCCAGCTCTGCTGCTCCCCAAATCCTGATTGGCAGAAACTGTGAGGTAATTTTTGTCTTAAGCTGCTAGTTTTAAGGTGATTTGTTATATGACAACAGAACTAATACAGCAACTGAGGCTAGAAGGGGTATGCACACCAGTTTAGATGAGTACAAGCAGTTTGCAATAATAAGATTTTGAAGGGATTAGTGACCAGCAAGCTCTCGAAATTATCTAGCTAAAACTGTTCCAGGACAAAGCCCCATACAGAAAAACTACTGGAAATACATTCCAAACTGAGTAGGATAGGGACAATAAAGACAAAAAGAAAAAAGATTCAGTTAAAAATAGGGAAGGAGAATAGAGCCAGGAGATTTAAGAAAGTAAGCTTCCATAGTACCTTTTTAAATAATTTGAGACTTCATTTACATACAACAATATGTATTATATATTTTTTGTACCATATATTAAGTAAATGTTAGCAAGTGTGTATACCCATGCCACCACTGTAATCAAGATTAATAGAAGGTTTTCATCACCCCAAAAAGTTCTTATGGGCTCCTTTAGATATCTCCAGTACCCTCAGCCTCGGCCCCAGACAACTACTCATTTGCTTTTTGTCAGATTAGATTTTAGTTGCTATAGTTTTGAATGCTTCTCCAAAAAATAACAATTAAAAAAAGTGAGTTCTATGGAACTCTATAGCTGTGAGCTAATAAAGCTAAGTGAAATTACACCCTCCAGAGGTTCAGTACATTTAATTTTCTTTAAAAAGGCATTGATGTCAAATTACATATTAAAAGAAAAGGGAAAAAAATGTAACGTTATCCTCATTCCTTTTAAGGAAAGTATCCCAGAAAGACATGCATGAGTCAAGAAAAGATGAACCAAGGATTTTAAGTCTAGCCAAACTGGCCTTCAGAATAAAGGCTGGAAACAAACTGTCATTACCTTGGAAGAACTAGGGGAGCTATTCTCATGAACACTTCCTGGAGAGTGTTGTAGAGAACTAGCTTCAGGTCATCAGGATGACTGAAGAAAATTTGACATAAAGAGCAGTGATAAACATTAAAAATATTTTTAAATTTGGTGACACCTGGGTGGCTCAGTTGGTTAAGTGTCTGCCCTCAGCTCAGGTCATGATCCCAGGGTCCTGGGATCGAGTCCCATATTGGGCTCCCTGCTCAGTGGGGAGTCTGCTTCTCTATCCACCTGCTGCTTCCCTGCTTGTGCTCGCTTGCACTCTCTCTGACAAATAAAAAAAACCTTAAAATATTTTTACGTTTAGAAGTTAGGAGATAAAGGAGATACATAATGAAGAAAGTATAGTATGTAATGATTACATGATCTGACATCAGATATAACTAGGATGTGGGCGGAAAAACAAAAAAGAATTTAAAACTTTTAAGTAATCACGATGACAACTAGTAAGAATGTCTTGTGTGTAATGTGGGATAAGGCAAAGACGTATTTGTAACATTCTGATTTAGACATCCCTGGTATCTTTGATAACTAGTAGTTTCTGACTGGGGAGAAAGGAGAACCAGACACATAATTGTTTTTAGAAAAGTAAATTTACCCTTTAGTTCTGAATCTGAACAAAGCATTTGTGTGAACTATTTTATATGTGTATTCATGTGTATGTTTAAATTTTGTAGTTCTGTCCACTGAAGAAGCCTTGAAACAGTGATCAACCTAGTTGCAGTAAGTTTTTCTAGTGCCTGAAGTATGGCTTTGAAATATTTCCACCCAGAAGAAATTGGGCTTCCTTATAGATAGGACTCCAGGCTAGAGGCAGAAAATGTGCAAGATGAACTTGAAACATCTTGTCTTAGGGATAACAAGGAAACCCACAAACACTGCTAACTAAATTCTTGTCAGAAAAATTTGGGAGTCAACTGGAAGTTCCTATTGGCCAAAGATAGTTTGAACATCAACAAGGAAAATAGCTACAGTGGATTGAAACACCTCATATATGTATGTGTATTCCTAGTAATATAGAAACTCATTGGTCACCTATATAGGAAATTAGGGAACTATTAAAGTTGCCAAAGAAAACACTTAGTCCATATTTTTTATATGATGTGTCACTGAGTCACCAAATAATTGATGAGGTGAAGTTTCTTTCTATTGAATTCTAGCAAATAGAAAGGAATGCTAAAACTGGAATGTCAACACTTTCTAAACCCCAGTGAATTAATCTTAGCATTGAGTATCAATGGCTGCTGTCATCATAGAAAAAGACAACTAAATAAACTGGGTGCTTCCTAATAGAATAGACCTATAAATAGTTTTACCAAAACATGAACCTGGATTTGATTAACATTTCTAAATGCAAGGATTGACTTTTTTTTTTTCATGTAAAGGTCCAGATAGTGGTTTTAACCCTCGACAGCCAAATGGTCTCCACCATCACAGCTACTCAATTCTGCCATTGTAGCACAAAACCAAACACAGAGAATGCATAAGTTAGTAGATGTAGCTGTACTCCAGTAAAACTTTATTTACAAAAGCAGGCAGCGGACCAGGTTTTTGACCTCTACTCTGGATCCAGCTACCAACTTGAAATGCAAATAACAGAAAAAACCTATTTAAACTACACTTTGGGAATGCAAATATTAGAATCAAGATATTGGGCAACTCTATAGGACAAATGGTGATGGTTCTTCAACAAATTGTAAAGAAGAAAAAGATAATGTGGGAATTGATAGAGTCTGAAAAACAGGCAGAACTATATGATATGCTTAGGAAGACAGGTGGTAAGACTGAAGAAAATTAAGGTAAATATATCTCTTGGAATAAAAGAGGGCACATGGCAGGGGCTTCTGAGATAAACTATTCTGTCTTCTATTTTGGTTGGTGGCTATAAGATGTATACCTTATAACTGATTATACATTTATCTATGCAGTTTTCTGCATTTGTGAATATCTGACATTAAAAGTTTTAAAAGTGTTGCATGTGAAAGAAAACGTGGGAAAAGTCATCAAGCAAATTCTAACCAAAAAAAAGTACACTTTTGATATAAAATGTATTACTAGAGATAGAGACGTTTCATAAGATGATTTAAGAATCCTAAGTCTGTATGTACCCAATAACATTGCTTCAAAAATATAAACCAAAGTTGACAGTAAAAGGAGAAATCTATATACAAATCAATAATAGGAAACTTTGAAAAAGCATGTGTAAACAGGTATAAATTGTGTCTTTGAGGAATACGGCTTAGTATCTGAAGGACTTTTTAATAAGTCATCTTTTTACCTAGAGACTTACTATATTTACTGGAAATATGTTTAAATCTTTTATTTTGATTGATAGAGTATCATTTTACCTAGTGTTTAAATTTACAAGATAACTGTCTTCTAGCCAGATAATCTAGATGAAGTCTGTAACTTTTTTTCCTCCTTTACACTAAAGTTACACTTAACTTTGAATAGTAACTAATCACTGTTGGACTTTTCCTGCCATTGGAAACAATAGCTCAAGGTGATTAGAATACCTAGAATCCCAATTTTAAATCAACAAAGTTCAGTGGGTTTCCCAAATGACTCTTAATTGTTTGTATATGGTTTAGATTTTGCTGGCAAAAGTTAACTTTTCTTCTTTTTTTAAACAGGGGTTCTGAAGGAAAATTAAATGACTGCCAGATAAGATTCGTAAATGAAATCTTTAAGATCGAGAAACCTGGAGCTCATCCCCTGTCATTGGCAGATGGAAAGTTTTTAAGTACGGATTTTTCTTATGGGTTTAGACTACATATATTGTACTTGATTGGTATTTTAACCACTAGGAAATAACTTTTGAGAAAGTATAAAACTGTAGATCATGCAAACATTAGCAAAACAACAATTTTGATCAAAGACCCATTTTGGTTTAGTGGATTTAATGGATTTTTCTCAAATGACAAAATTTGTTTTCCAAAAAATATTTTCTTGGCATTTTATTGCTGTTTTCTTGTTTTCTTGACTATAGATTCTGTCCAAATAACCCATTCAGTAATTTTGTGGCCACCCAAGATTGATTTTTAATAATGAGACTTATTTTTATATGAGTAGAGTCTGACTGACAGTAATGCCGGTTGAGCCTTGAGTTTCTGAGAGGTAATAAGTGAAGTTTAAACAATTGTGAGAGTGTTGGAATATAGCCCTGCCTCTTCACTGTACGTATTGTATTTGCTTAATATCATACAGCTAGTTGGTAACAGAGGTAGGAGTAGATTCTAGGTCTTTTAATTCATGGTTCAATCACTATCTTTCCAAATAGATTACTGTCTCATACTCTCTTAATTCTGGATTTTTTTGGGGAAAGCAATTTATTGGCTTTATGCCACATGTCAATATCTAGTATATATGTTTTTTTAAGCTTTGATTTTTAAGTAATCACTACAACCAACATGGGACTCAGACTTAGAACCCTGAGATCAAAAGTTGCATACTCTACCTACTGAGCCAGCCACGAGCCTCAATATCTAGTAGATTGTTTTAGAAAAATACTCCCAACTAAAGGCTTCTGCTTAACCTTTTCATACCGCAGTTGTGCAAGATAATAGCAAGACAGTACCTTTAACAGATCACAAAATAGACTTTCATGTTACCAGTCTAAGCCATTCTCTCATTTCTTGAGACTGCAAAGCTGATATATCTAGATTTGAATTAAGAACCTTCAGGCATACTCTGTATGAGTACTTGTATGGTTATATCCTAGGAGTAAACGTAACTTGAATAAACCTATTTTTTTTTTAAGATTTATTTATTTTATTTTAGAGGCGGGGGGATAGGGGCAGAGGGGGAGAGAAAAAGAGAATCTACTCCCCACTGAGTGTGGAGCCTGACGCGGGGCTCAGTTTCACAACCCAGAGATCATGACCTGAGCTAAAATCAAGAGCCAGATGCTTAACCAACTGAGCCACCCAGGTGACCCTGAGTAAACCTATTTAATGTGACTTAGTCATTCTCAGTAAAACACAATACAAAACCAAGATAGATGAGGGTTTTTTTGTCTTTCTGTTATCTCTTAGTACATCTGCATGTATTCTCTTCTCTCTCATTCTCTGTATCTCTCCTCTGCCTAATACTAATCACATTATAGCTACAACTTTAAACTTGTATGTAAAGAAATCATTTCACAGCAACAGCCAGATTGCCTTTGATCACATCACTCCATACCAAAAATCTATCAAAGGCATGTTTTTAGGTCTGTTATACATCCATTATTTCTATGTTGTCATGGCTCCCTTAGTGGAAGTGAAACAAAATTGTGATCTGCCACTCAGTAGCAAGAATAGGCACTGACCAGGCGGAAAGACAGTACTGAAATCAGTGCCTTTTCCCTTCCCCCCCTCTCATTTTTCCAGTATGGTTCCCCATGTCCCTCATATTGCTAAATCAGTTCTGATATGGTAAATTTCCTCACAGTTGTGTACATATGTCAGAAATTCAAAATCTAGAACAATATTAATTTAAATATGGGGGCACCTAGGTGGCTCAGTTGGTTGGGCAACTGCCTTCGGCTCAGGTCATGATCCTGGAGTCCCAGGATCGATCCCACATTGGGCTCCCTGCTCAGCAGGGAGTCTGCTTCTCCCTCTGACTCTCCCCGATCTTGTGCTCGCTCTCTCTCTCATTCTCTCTCCCTCAAAAAAATAAATAAATATAGGACTCCCAGGAAGTAATCACTCTAACAATGTATATTATTGTAGACATCTTCCACTATTTACATAATTCATCTTTGTGTATTAAAGATAAAATTCTGCAGTTTTCTTTTGAATTTCATATACCTCATTACCTCTGTGTTATGGTTCTTATAAACTTACCTTATTTTTAATAAAATCTTTCCAACCATTTCTCTTTTGACATTTTAAATTAAATTTTGTATTACGAACATTAAGATTTTTTTGTGTACATGTGTATATCTTAAAATTTCAACGCTTTGGCAAAAGCTGTTTGGATTTAGATAGGTTGGGGGGCACTAAATGCTACACCTCTTACTTGCCACAGTTCTGAACCAATTGACAAATAAGATAAAAATCAACTGAGTTAAAAATACTATTTCTAAAAAAAATAAAAAATAAAAAATACTATTTCTATTACTGATAAAAAGTATGTTGGGGGCATAGCTTGAATGGGAACCAAAATGGGCATGCTAACTCTTAACAAAATCAGCCCTCCCCGTCTTAGTTTAGCCCACTCAAGGAAAGGTTTAGGTCTGCAGGTACATGGTATTTAATTGTTCCACTTATTAAGTAGTTAGATCCAAAGAACTTTGTGCAAGAGAATGTTGTATACCCTTGAATTCTGAAGACACGTGTCCTTTTGGTGCCCTGGTGAGTTCACTGCATTGGCCCTGGAACTTTCAGTCTGGTCAATGCAAATTTTAAAGGCAAGAGTATACATTATCCTCTTGCAGGTAGTGATGCCCGCTACACCTGGGCTTCATCCCTGTTACTTTGATAAGTATAGAATGACGCTCAGGTGTTTATTATTAAAGTCCCACACTTGATTATTCTTTGTGGTTTTTTCCTATTAAAAAAAGCTGTATGCTACTTTCATGTGTTTTTCTTTGTAAGATTCATAGATGTAAAAATGATCCTAACACTGGGCTTGTTATAATTTTATTCTTAATAGGGAAAAACGATCCTGAGTGTGACATTTGTGGTGGAGATCCAAATAAGAAATGTCGTTCTTGCTCCTGTCATATATGTGGTGGAAAACAAGAACCCAACATGCAGCTTCTATGTGATGAATGTAACATGGCCTATCATATTTACTGCCTGAATCCACCTTTGGATAAGGTCCCTGAAGAGGAGTACTGGTATGATTATCAGGGTTTTTTGTTGTTGTTACTGTGTTAAGAATTGAATGTGAAATATGTATTTGAGCCACCAAAAGATTTCTGAAGATATATAATGTGTATTAAAGTGCTTAAAATTTTTGCAGCCAATGGTTACTTGGCATCGATAACCTTATTTGGTTATTATAATGCCTTGGGAACCGGTCTCTAGTTCTATTTTTTAATCCTTGCAATCCTTCCTCTAAAAGGAGTCTGTGCTCTTTCAAAAATGCAAATCTGATCGTGTTAACTCCTTTAAATGTCACCCTATAGGGCCTTGCACAATACTTTTTTAGTTGATTTCTCCAGGTGTATTTCTTATTTTTCCCTTTCATTTTCCCAAATATTCTATACTCTAGCCAGATTAAATATCTTTCAGCTCCTTAAGTCATGTTCTTTCTCTCCTCTGGGTTTTACACTTGACACATTTTCTCTTAGAAGCATTTTCGTCTTTGCTTAACCTTCAGGATGATATTTAACCTTCAGGTTTTCACTTAACTATGACTTTATCTGGGAAAGTGGGTGGTCCCCTCTACCCCCCAGTAATTCTATTATTTTTTTTATTTTTTTGTGCTCATTTTTAAAAATTTTTTTAATTTAAATTCAATTAATTAACATATGGTGTATTAGTTTCAGAGGTAGAATTCAGTGATTCATCAGTCTTACATAATACCGAGTGCTCCTTACATCACGTGAGCTCCTTAATGTCCATCACCTAGTTACCTCATCCCCCCACCCCCTCCCCTCCAGCAGCCCTCAGTTTGTTTCCCATGATTAAGAATCTCTTATAGGTTGTCTCCCTCTCTGATTTTGTCTTGTTTTATTTTTTCCCCTCTTCCCCTATATGATCTTTTTTTTTTTTTTTTTTAAAGATTTTATTTATTTATTCATGAGAGGCAGAGGGAGAAGCAGGCTCCCCACTGAGCAGGGAGCCCGATGCGGGACTCAATCCCAGGACCCTGGGATCATGACTTTAGCCGAAGGCAGACGCTTAACCATCTGAGCCACCCAGGCTCCCTTGTTTTGTTTCTTAAATTCCACATATGAGTGAAATCATCTGATAATTGTCTTTCTCTGTTTGACTTATTTTGCTTAGCATAATATCCTCCAGTTACATACATGTCGATGCAAATGGCAAGATTTCTTCTTTTTGATTGCTGAGTAGGAATCCATTGTGTGTGTATATATATATATATATCCACTTATCTGTCGATGGACATCTGGCTCTTTTCTAGTTTGGCTGTGTGGGCATTGCTGCTATAAACATTGGGGTGCAAGTGCCTCTTGAGATCACTACTTTGTATCTTTGGGGTAAATACCCAGTAGTGCAATTGCTGGATCATAGGGTAGTTCTATTTTTAACTTTGAGGAACCTCCATACTATTTTCCAGAGTGGCTGCACCAGCTTGCATTCCCACCAACAGTATATGGGGGTTCCCCTTTCCCTGCATCCTTGCCAACATCTGTCGTTTCCTGCTTGTTAATTTTAGCCATTCTGACTGGTGTGAGGTGGTATCTCATTGAGGTTTTGATTTGGATTTCCCTGATGCCAAGTGATGTGGAGCACTTTTTCATGTGTCTGTTGGCCATTTGGATGTCTTTCTTTGGAGATGTGTCTGTATATGTCTTCTGCCCATTTCTTGATTGGATTATTCTTTGGGTATTGAGTTTGATAAGTTCTTTATAGATTTTGGATGCTAGCCTTTTATCTGATAAGACATTTGCAAATATCTTCTCCCATTCTGTCGGTTGTCTTTTGGTTTTGTCGACTGTTGCTGTGCAGAAGCCTTTTATCTTGATGAAGTCCCAATAGTTCATTTTTGCTTTTGTTACCCTTGCCTTTGGAGACATGTCTAGCAAGAAGTTGCCACAGCCAAGGTCATAGAGGTTGCTGCCTGTATTCTCCTCTAGGATGTTTTTTATTTTTATTTTTTCAAGATTTTTATTTATTTGCCAGAGAGAGAGAGTGCGAGCGCGCACAAGCAGGGGAGCAGCAGCCAGAGGGAGAAGCAGGCTCCCTGCTGAGCAGGGAGCCCGATGTGGGACTCGATCCCAGGACTCCAGGATCGTGACCTGAGTCAAAGGTAGATGCTTAACCAACTGAGCCACCCAGGTATCCCTCATCTCTAGGGTTTTGATGGATTCCTGTCTCACATTTAGGTCTTTCATCCATTTTGAGTCTGTTTTTGTGTGTGGTGTAAGAAAATGGTCCAGTTTCATTCTTCTGCATGTGGCTGTCCACTTTTCCCAGCACCATTTGTTGAAGAGACTTTTTTCCATTGGACATTCTTACCTGCTTTGTCAAAGATTAGTTGACCATAGAGTTGAGGATCCATTTCTGGGTTCTCTGTTCTGTTCCGTTAACCTATGTGTATGTGTCTGTTTTTGTGTCTGTCTTTTGTAATAGAGCTTGAAGTCCGGAATGTGATGTCTCCAGCTTTGGTTTTCTTTTTCAACATTCATTTGGCTATTTGGGGTCTTTTCTGCTTCAATACAAATTTTAGGATTATTTGTTCCAGCTCTGTGAAAAATGTTGATGGTATTTTGATAGGGATTGCACTGAGTGTATAGATTGCTCTAGGTAGCATAGACATTTTAACAATATTTATTCTTCCAGTCCATGAGCTTGGAACATTTTTTCCATTTCTTTGTCTTCCTCAATTTCTTTCATGAGTATTCTATAGTTCTCTGAGTACAGATCCTTTGCCTCTTTGGTTAGGTTTATTCCTAGGTATCTTACAGTTTTTGGTGTAATTGTAAATGGGATCAACTCCTCAATTTCTCTTTCTTCTGTTTCATTGTTAGTGTACAGAAATACAGCTGGTTTCTGTGCATTGATTTTATATCCTGCCAGTGAATTCCTCTATCAGTTCTAGCAATCTGAGGGTCGAGTCTTTTGGGTTTTCCCCAGAGTATCATGTCATCTGTGAAGAGTGAGAGTTTGACTTCTTCGCCGATTTGGATGCCTTTTATTTCTTTTTGTTGTCTGATTGCTGAGGCTAGGACTTCTAGTACTGTGTTGAACAGCAGTGGTGATAGTGGACATCCCTGTCGTGTTCCTGACCTTAGAGGAAAAGCTCTCGGTTTTTCCCCATTGAGAATGATATTTGCTGTGGGCTTTTCTTATATGGCTTTTATGATACTGAGGTACATACCCTCGATCCCTACACTATGGAGAGTTTTAATGAAGAAAGGATGCTGTACTTTGTCAAATGCTTTTTCTGCATCTATTGAGAGGATCATGTGGTTCTTGTCCTTTCTTTTATTAATGTGATGTGTCACATTGATTGATTTGCAGATGTTGAACCATCCTTGCAGCCCCGGAATAAATCCACCTTGTCTGTGGTGAATAATCCTTTTAATGTACCGTTGGATCCTATTGGCTAATACCTTGTTGAGACTTTTTGCATCCATGTTCATCAGGGATATTGGTCTGTAATTTTCCTTTTTGGTGGGATCTTTGGTTTGGGGATCAAGGTAATGCTAGCCTCATAGAGTTCGGATGTTTTCCTTCCATTTCTATTTTTTGGAACAGTTTCAGAAGAATAGGTATTAATTCTTCTTAAAATTTTTTTTTTTTTAAAGATTTTATTTATTTATTTTTTAGAGAGCGAGCTAGAGAGAAACAGCATGAGAGGGGAGAGGGTCAGAGGGAGAAGCAGGCTCCCCGCCTAGCAGGGAGCCCGATGTGGGACTCGATCCCAGGACCCTGGGATCATGACCTGAGCCGAAGGCAGATGCTTAACCATCTCAGCCACCCAGGCGCCCATTCTTTAAATGTTTGATAGAATTCCCCTGGGAAGCCATTCAGCCCTGGACTCCTGTTGGGAGATTTTTGATTACTGCTTCAATTTCCTTGCTGGTTATGGGTCTGTTCAGGTTTTCTATTCTTCCTGTTTCAGTTTTGGTATTTTATATGTTTCTAGAAGTGCTTCCATTTCATCAAGATTGCTTAATTTGTTGGCATTATAGTTGCTTATAATATGTTCTTATAATTGTTTGTATTTCTTCGTTATTACTTGTGATCTCTCCTCTTTTATTTATGATTTTACTTATTTCAGTCCTTTCTCTCTTCCTTTTGATAACCCTGGCCAGGGGCTTCTCACTTATTTTAGATGTGCCTATAATAGTACTTAATGATTATTAAGTGCTTAATATATGCTGGACACTAACAAAGTGCTTTATATGGATTATTGTACTTAATCCTATGAGGTTAATACCTAGAACCAGGCACTAGGGTTAAATACACTGTCCGAAACCTGTACTTCTTTTAAGTAGTCTTAGCTACAAAATGAAATCATTAGAAAAAAGACTGGGAAGAACATACCCAAAGTAATAATAAACTTTTTCATGTCATACTCAGAAGTTTTTTCTTCTTTTTTTTTTTTTTTTTTTTTTAAGATTTATTTATTTATTTATTTGACAGAGAGATAGCACAAGTAGGCAAAGAAGCAGGCTCCCCGCAGAGCAGGGAGCCCGATGCGGGACTCGATCCCAGGACCCTGGGATCATGACCTGAGCCGAAGGCAGCCGCTTAACCGACTGAGCCACCCAGGCACCCCAAGAAGCTTTTTCTTCTTAAGCTATGGAGTGTTGCTGGCGTGGAGGCTCAAGTTAAAGAATGTCACACTCAGAAATACAGGCATACTTCAGAGATAGTACAGGTTCCAGACCATTGCATTAAGTAAATACTGCAGTAAGGCAAGTCAGATGAATTTTTTTGCTTCCCAGTGCATGTAAAAGTTATGTTCACACACTATGTTGTAGTCTACTAAGTGTGCAATAACATTGTTTCTAAAAAAAGTACATACCATAATTTTAAAATACTTGATTGCCAAAAATGCTAGCCATCATCTGAGCTTTCAGCAAATCTTAATCACTGATCACAGATCACCCTAACAATATATAATAATGAAAAAGCTTGAAATACTGCAAGAAATACCAAAATGTGACACAGAGACAGTGAGCAAATGTTGGAAAAATCGCACCAATGGACTTGCTCAATACTGGGTTGCCACAGATCTTCAATCCGTAAAAGAACACAGTATCTGTGAAGTGCCATAAAATGAGATGTGCCTGTAATCACATCACAGTTGGGTAGCTGGTATTATTGTGAAGAATAGATTATTTTCCATTCCTTTGGCCTCTCCCCACCTATTAAGAAGGTTGTTATTGTATTACCACAGAGGCTGTAAGGGTGGGAGAAGCGAAGGGATCCTACTTCTTCCTTTTACCCCCTCCTTCTCCCTTGCATGGTTACAAACTGTATTTTACCATCTATAAACAGTAATTATATTTCCTCTAAAGTCTCATATATTTTTCTTCCCTTTTGTTTCTGTGGAGGATAGTTCCTGCTTCTCTAAAATGCAAACCCTTCTACCTGCCCTCAGTTTCATAACCCTTTGCCTTTTCAGGAACTTCACTCCTGTAGTTAATTCTCAAATTGCCATTACTGGGTCATTCTCATTGTATCCTGGAATCTATTCAGTCTTCCAAACACACACACCCCCTTCCCTTGATCCCATTTCTTTGCTTCCTTTATGGCAAAGCTTCTGAAGAGCTATCTTCATTGATGATTTCCATTTCCTCTTGTCCTGTTCATACTTCAGCTCTCCACTTGGACTTTCCTTCCCACAACTCCACTATTATTTATGTTAAGCTCAAAGACACGTTTCGTGTTGCGAAATCTAATGGTCACTTCTAAGTCCTCTCCTTACTTGTACTTCTCGGCTCTTTGTCTTTATAGATTGTATGATACCGTATGACCTAATTTTTATTGTATCTCTCTTGGCCTTTCCTTCATCTGTTTGTTTTCTCATATCTATCAGATTTACGAGTTTTCCAAAGCACTACTCACTTGCTTTTTGTCTTCATGCTTGCTTCCTAGATGACCTCATCTGATCATGAGACTTTAAATACCAAGCTAATGATTCTATATTTTCAGTATCTTTGTATCTAATTTTCCGTGGGTTCTATATTCCTGTATTCATTCAACTGTTTACTTGATGGACAGCACAAAATTAGTCCAAATGGAGATCTTGATTTCCATAAACACACCCCCTAAAATCCTGCTCCTCTCCCAAAAATGCTATACTCATCTAGTTGTTCAGGCTGAAAAGCTATACTTCCTCTTTGATTTCCTCTTCACCCTCCTCACATATTCTACATCCTACATGAGCAGGTCTTGTCAGTCCTCCATAATCTTTCTCTGCTCTCATCCTTCAGTCCAAACTAATGTCGCTTCCCTGAACTGTATAATAAATGCTTAACTAGTCTCCTTGCTTTCACATTGCTTGCCAGCTATCCTTTCTACCATAATAGCAGAATGATCTTACTAAGTCCTGAACTGAGTAACAGGGTTACTCATGTGTTTAAAATCCCCTAGTGTATCCTGTTGCACTTAGATGGCATGTGCTTAGGTTTTATTCTGACCTGGCCCTGCCTGCTCTATAACCTCATTGCTTATCTCTGTGCAGTTTATTTTGCTAAACTTCAGATCTACCCACCTAATGTTTTTCAAGGCATACCACTCCTTCTTAGGCCTCAGGACTTGTATACTTAATGTCTTTTTGCCCAGAATGCATTCCCTGGCTTCTTCATAGGACTGACTCCTTTGGTCTTAGCTGGAATATCACCTCAGAAAACTACTCTATCTAAAAACACATACCATTTCTTTTTTTTTTTTTTTTTTTAAGATTTTTATTTATTTATTTGAGAGAGAGAGAATGAGAGAGCACATGAGAGGGGGGAGGGTCAGAGGGAGAAGCAGGCTCCCCGCCGAGCAGGGAGCCCGATGCGGGACTCGATCCCGGGACTCCAGGATCATGACCTGAGCCAAAGGCAGTCGCTCAACCAACTGAGCCACCCAGGCGCCCCAACACATACCATTTCTAATCACTCTTAATACCCACATAATCCTGATGTATTTCCTTTATAGAACTTGCCGACTTCCTGAAATTGTTTCATTGTATGTACTAGTTTTCTTTACTCTGTACAAACATTTTGATCATATTTATCCCCAGCACCAAAATAGTGCCTGATATATCTTTTCTATTTCTCCAAATCATGTTGTTTGCATATTTAACCTCTGAGCTCATTTTCTCACCAGAAATAGTACTTGCTTTGCCCCTAAGATCTCTGAAAAATTATAGTTTTAAAGGTTAGCACATTGGCTAAAATCCAGTCTTAGAACAAATTAATTTTTGGAAGCCTCCTGATTTCCCAATTAGAAGGGATTTTACTTGATAATACTTATTACTTTCTCCTACATTTTAATTTTTGCCTTCGTTTTGTATGTGTATATCACAATCTAACTAATTTTCTCAGAATCAGGGGACTGAATTACATTTTTCTTTCCTCTAGTACTAAACAAAGTATCTCATAATTAAGCAGTCAGAATTAGCTGGTGGGCATGGATGGTTTTTTGCTCTAAACACTATATGGAGTAATTATGAAATGGAAAGTATAGGCACATTTAATATTAATGGTGAGAGGGGCCAGTTGATCTTTATCAGGATATCCCTCAAGTTTGTATTCCTTGGTGATATAGAACACCAATCTATATCTGAATGTCCAATTCAGAATATGAATAAAGATATAGAATCTGATTCTATAGACATACTTATACTTTGCTTTTTAGGAATGATTTAAGGTAGCTCATAATGATATGCAAGTTATAGTAGGTTGACCAACTGCAATATATAGTAGATTGACCAACTGCAATAGGCCAAAGGACAAAAAGTATAGAGAATTAAAACAGAACCTACGGATAAGGCTAATATAAACAAGCATCCTTGGATCCTGTGTATTAGTTGTGATAGAGTATACATTTTTGACTTTGAGAGTTTTAATAATCAGTTTAGATGGGGATGTAACCTGAATTCAGTTGCATAGTTGAACATTCAGTTTAAGATCATCTATTCTTGCTACCTCTGTTTTAATAATAGGAACTTCAAATGAATAAATTCCATTCTCCAGGTTAGTGATAAGATCAGAGTTAATGGGCGCCTGGGTGGCTCATTTGGTTAAGCATCTGCCTTCGCTCAGGTCGTGATCCCAGGGTCCTGGGATCGAGCCCTGCATTGGGCTCCCTGCTCACTGGAGAGTCTGCTTCTCCCTCTGCTCCTCCCTCCCCAACCCCCACTCGTGCTCACTCTCTCCCTTTTTGTTTCTCTCTCTCTCGCAAAAATAAATAAAATCTTAAAAAAAAAAAAAAGATAGTGCATGATGCCATTTGAATTGGACAGCTTTGTCTGGCTTTTGAACTGAATTTGAGATTTTATGATATTATAATCCTTTACATTCTTTAAAGGAGTGATAAGGTTTTGGTTTTGGTTTTTTCTTTTTCCTGCTAGCTTAATCATGTAAATATTTTCAAAAGTTTAATATTTAAATGCCAGCTGAAGATCTATAATATACACCAAGTATTACATCTTAAAACTTGTTCTGACCTGGAAAGACCATTCTGTTACTAGCTTTAATATGGTATTATCAAAATTCCTTTTTCTTTAAAGGTATTGTCCTTCCTGTAAAACTGATTCCAGTGAAGTTGTAAAGGCTGGTGAAAGACTCAAGATGAGTAAAAAGAAAGCAAAGATGCCATCAGCTAGTACTGAAAGCCGGAGAGACTGGGGCAGGGTAAAGAAGAAAGTCTCCTTTTCTTCCTAGCTATAACATTTATGACTGTAATGCAGGTTATAACATTTCAATACCAACAGTAGTGGTGATATAAATTATGCTTTCCATTTCAGAAATATTAACGAATAACTATAATTATATAATTGTTAATTTACTATAACTGTTAGCTGTATGTTAATGAAATCATATAAATTATGTATTGTTAATCATATAGTTAGGTTTCTATTTTATTCTCATTTTTATGGGAATTAAGGGCTTTAAGATTTGATATAACCAGTTTCTCAAACAGCTTGTTTGTTTACTTATAGGGAATGGCCTGTGTTGGTCGCACTAGAGAATGTACTATTGTTCCTTCTAATCATTATGGACCTATTCCTGGGATTCCTGTTGGATCAACATGGAGATTTAGAGTTCAGGTATGTTTTAAATTGGTTTTGTTGAAAGGGTAAAGTTGGGTATAGTTAAAATTGTAGCAGTGTCAGTTTCTGTTGATTATAAGTGGACTAACCTAGGTTGTGTCACATGGCATTCAGTTGTTAGAATAAAAGATTCTCTATAGGATGGGTAGACTCTTCCCCATAGCTTAAGACAGAGGACCATACATCATGGAATTAGGCATCAGCTATGCCTTTTCATCACTTTGTTTTACTGTTCTGATAGTTAACATTATTGTTAAGCTTTCTAGAGAATTTTCCTTGCTGAGAATTTAATATTTGAAATATTAAATTTTTTTTCTTTAAAATATTTGGTAAGTTCTCACTTAATATCATTGAAGTCCAAGAAAGCTCACTGAGGTGTCTTGTTTGCAGCTTATCCTCCTGAATGAATGTTAAGGTGTTGGTCAGAGGAAGTGCCCAGATAACCCAAGGATAAAATTACTCCTCTTTTCCTCTTGAAGGCTCTACTGTATTCATTTCTAACTTCTTTTTTAGAATGGTAATTTTATCATTATAGAGAGCTTAAGTTATCTTCATTTTCTGTTTCTCAGAGACAACCACTTTAAAGTTTTAATTGTTTCTTCTGGATTTACCTTATTTCTAAATAGCATGTTTCTACTGCTTTTGTCTTCATATTTTAGTTTAACTTCTTTCTATGGAAGATGGCATTTAGTTTAACACACTCTGTGTCTTTCCATCCTTGCAACGGTTATATTATAATTTTGGCTAAATCCATATGCATGTTTTATGACTTTAGATCTTTAAATACAGTAAAAAAAAATACTACAAGTAAATACAATAGAATGTTATAAATACAATAAAAAGTACACTTAGTATATTTTTAATTGCCTTGGGCTTTTTTGTTGTTGTTTGCTTTTTTTTTTTTTTTTTTTTGTATACCTGTCACTAATTTATTCCCAAATTCTAAAAGCCCTATTAATACGGTCTCAGATGAGTTTGAGGTTGTTGGCCTGAGCAACTACAAGGGTGGATTTGCCATTTAGGAAGTGGGGAAGAGTAAGATTTATTTTCATCAGGATTGGTGAGGTTGGGAACAGGTGGTCCTGTCTTCTGGAGTACCTGGTGTTTTCAAGACCTAAACTCAGGCTCTGATGCTTTCATTAGCTTCTCATTGGCTTCTAATGTGTGTCTTTCCCAACCCCGCTATGCAGGTTTGGAGTTCAGCTTCTTTTTCTCTAAGAATAATTATATGATAAACAAATGAGTTCTGATACTTCTCTCAGGGAGTTTGAAGTACACAAAGTGACACTGTTCAGGGAGCCAAAATTGAAGATAGATGGGAAGAAGCAGTAGGCCATTGAAGTAGTAGAATACATAAGTAAATTTAACAAATTGGGAAGCACGTTTGGGTAACATTGAGTAGTTTTGGCTCAAACATATATGCTCTCTGAAGGAGAAGCTGGAGATAAGAGTTAAGGTGGGGAAAGTAGGGCGCCTGGGTGGCTCAGTTGGTTAGGCGACTGCCTTCGGCTCAGGTCATGATCCTGGAGTCCCAGGATCGAGTCCCGCATCGGGCTCCTTGCTCGGCAGGGAGTCTGCTTCTCCCTCTGACCCTGCCCCCTCTCATGCTCTCTCTCTCTATCTCATTCTCTCTCAAATAAATAAATAAAATCTTTAAAAAAAAAAAAAAAAGTGGGGAAAGTAGATAGGAGCCAGATTGAGAGAGGGTAATATGTAATATTTGGGGCTTGATATACAATATGACCATTTGATGTTGAATATTAAAAGCAGATTTATTCTTAAAAGTATTGTTATGTTTGTGATGGGTAGAATGGGATTTGAAGAGAAAAACTGGAGGCAGTGAAAAAGGATGTTTATAGTATTCATGACTCAAACTAAGATTACAGCAGTTGAAGTAGAAAAAGATGTATTTGAGAGATTTAGGAGATTGATCAGCAGTATTTATGACCAAAATGGGTTTGAAAAATAGAGAAGAATGAGACTAAAATGTCTCTTGCCTGGGCTGCCTGGGCTCCTCATTCGGTTAAGCATCCTACTCCTGATTTTGGCTCAGGTCATATTCTCAGGGTCATGAGATTGAGCCCCTACTTAAGATTCTCTCTCTCCCTACCCCCCCCCACCCACCTGTACACACCCTCTCTCAAAAAAAAAAAGAATAAAATGACTCTTGCCTTTTTGATGTGACTAGGGAGCATGCAGTAATTGAAGAGAAGAAATAGGATAGGAAGGGATCTGGACCACTGATAAACAAATTCTGTTTTACCCAAGTTGAGCTGTAATGACCAGTAGACATAAAATGGTATTTAATAATTATTTTGAAACTCCGAATTCTAGGTCTGAGCAGTTTTAAGGTCACCAGCTTAGTATCTAAGGGATATATAGTTGGAAAGAAATAAAGTTGGTGAGCAAAAGATAGAACTCTGAGCAACATTCAGTTCTTAGTTGGAGGCTTTTAGGATACAATAATATATATGAAAGCATTTTATAAATATAATTTGACTATTCAAAGGTATTTTGAGACTCTCTTTTTTTCATAGGTGAGCGAAGCAGGTGTCCATAGGCCCCATGTTGGTGGAATTCATGGTCGAAGTAATGATGGGGCTTATTCTCTTGTCCTTGCTGGTGGATTTGCGGATGAAGTAGTAAGTCATGATACAGCCTTGTTCTTTAGAACCCATCAGTAAAATACAGAAGCTTTTTCTAGCATATATCAAATCCCTTTTTTTTTTTTTTTAGCATAGTCTGTATGTTGAAGTGGTCACTTCTGTACAAATTACAAGATAAATCAATTGGCGGTCTTTAATCTTTACATGTACTGATTTATGTATATATGTGGTAACTGATTATTGCAATGAAAATACATTCTCTATAGAGCTCATTTTTTTAAATTAAATTTATTATTTTGGGATGTTGTAGACTGACATGTAGCCTTAGAAATACTGTAGATATCTCTGTGCCCTTTACCCATCCCCTCCCAATGGTAACATCTTACAAAACTGTAGTACAGTATCACAACCAGGATATTGACATTAATACATTCAGGTCACTGAACATTTCCCTACCACAAGTATCCCTCATGTTGCCCTTTGATAGCCACACCTACTATACCTGCCCTCCCTAACCCCTGACATCCACTAATCTATTCTCCATTTCTATAATTTTGTTGTTTCAAAAATTTTTAGAAGTGGAGGGGCGCCTAGGTGGTTCAGTCAGTTAAGCGTCTGCTTCTTGATTTCCACTTCAGTCATGATCTCAGAGTCATAGGATAGAGCCCTAAGTGGGGCTCCGCATTCAACGGGGAGTCTACTTGAGATTCTCAGTCTCTGTCTCCCTCTGCCCCCTCCCTCCCATGCTCACGCTCCCTCTCTCCCTCTCTAAAATTCTTTTAAAAAATTTTTGTAAGTGGAATCATATGGTATGTGACCTTTGGGAATGGCACTTTTCACTCAGCATAATTCTCAAATTGTGGCATGTATTAATAGTTTATTCCTTTTTATTGCTGAGTAGTATTCCATGCTATAGGTATGCCACAGTTTGTTTAACCATTCACTCATTGAAGAATATTCAGATTGTTCCAATTTCTGACTTTTACAAATAACTGCAATAAACATTTGGGTACAGGTTTTTTTTTTTATAAATATAAGTCTTCATTTTTCTGTGATAAATGCCCAGAAGTGCATTGTTGGGTTATATGGTAGTTGCATGTTTAGTTTTTTAAAAAACTGCCAAATTGTTTTCCAGAGTGACTATACCACTTTACATTCCTATTAGCAGTGTGTAAGTAAGTGATCCAGTTTCTCTGCATTCTTGCCAGCATGCAGTGTTGTTGCTTTGTTTTACTTTAGCCATTCTGATAGGTATGCAGTAAGATCTCATTGTGGTTTTAGTTGACATTTCCCTAATGGCTGTTGGTGATATATCTTCAGGTCATTTGCCCATCTTCTAATTGAGTCCTATTTGGGGTTTTTTGCTGTTCATTGAATATGTAGTTTGCAGGTATTTTCTCCCAGTCTGTTTCGTTGGTTTTTTTCATGATATGTTATAGCTGTGTAGAGGCCAAGATATAGTATGTTTTCAGACAAAGGTAGAAGAGCTTGCCATTTTTCTAACAGGCCAATTTGTCAATACATTTACACTAACATGGCAAAGGAAACTAAAGATGGAAATATGCAGGGTAATTATTTGAGTACTCATATAACATGCATATTTTTAAGCTGTATTTTTTAGAAATACAAAGGATGTTGTATAGTTTACTACAGTTGGCACTTAATTTTTTTTTAGGGCTCTGTAAGAAAACAAGCCAGCTAAAAGTAGAATCTTTTTAACATGTTTTTAGCATCTAGCCAGTTGTGTTTGATCTGGACTCTGACATTTGTGTGTGAGACTTTGGCCTAATTGTTTTACTCCAGTAAACCTCAGTTTCCCCATGTGTAAAATAGAAAAAAAAAGTACCACCATTTTATATCAAAATTATTGATATTAAATGAGGTAATTTATGTAGTCTTAGCATATAACAAGGATTCAAACAGTTGTATTGTCTATAGCAGAGCTTATCTTAAATACACAAAACATAAGCATGTAGAGGTGAAAACAAGTACCAAGTTGAATTGGGATGGTTATTACTACTTCCCTTTTTCCTCATCTTTTGAATACAGTTACTAGTCAAACATTAAACATTTGTAGAGAAAAGTACTGATGAGCTGTTAATTATGTGTCTTAAGCAATTCTCAGTCTGTTAAATAATATAAAGAATAATTCATTTTGGAGCTAAAACAAATAGGCTTAGATCACCAGCTAAGATATATTTGGAGATGTTAATATATTTTATAAGCATTTTTAATCTTTTGATCGCTTATTGCAGGCAGGTCATATCTATAGAAGAAATAGGTGGAGGAAACCTGAATAAACTTTTCTCATTTGAGAAAAAAATTTGTTTTGAAACCTTTTTTTTTTTTTTTTTAAGATTTTATTTATTTATTTGACAGAGAAATAGCGAGAGCAGGAACACAAGCAGGGGGAGTGGGAGAGGGAGAAGCAGGCTTCCTGCCGAGCAGGGAGCCCGATGTGGGACTCGATCCCAGGACCCTGGGATCATGACCTGAGCTGAAGGCAGACGCTTAACGACTGAGCCACCCAGGCGCCCTGTTTTGAAACCTTTAAGTATAACATTCATGGAGCCCATAATCTTTGTTTTGTCCAGATGAATGGACATGAAACTACTGAATACCTGTTGATAAACTAGTTAATATTTTAGTCTAGTAACTTGAGAATCAAATGCTAGTTTTAGTGCCCTGTGTTAGGGTAACCTCACTTGAGGAATGAGAACCCACAAAGATGATCTGCCTTTTATAGCTGTCCTGAGAAATAGTTTGCTCAGTGATCAGGAACAGATTCTGGAACCAAACTGGATTTGTATCCTTGTGCCATCTCTTACTAGCTAAGTGACCTTAGGCAAGTTAATGAACCTCTGCCTCATCTATAAAATAAGGCTTTAAAAAAATACTTCATAGGGTTGATGTGAGCATTAAAAGAATAATACATAAAGTGCTTAGCCTAACTTCACACACACACACACACACACACACAGTAAATGCTAGGTAGGTGTTATCAGCAGTAAAGTGGTAGTACCCAGCTTTGCAAACATGAAAGGGGTATTTTGAGAGAAACTGGCAGAGATTGAAGCTGTATAATAGATAGCTTTGAATTAAGGAATCATTAAATGTGTCTGGGAAAAGTTTAATGATCTTAACTATGCTTTCGGATATTTATCTGATAGTCTTTGTGGGGGGCAGTGAGAAGATTGAGATGAAGGTCTTTTGCTTGATAACGGTGATGGCGGGAATAGGAGCATCCAGCTTATTGTGTTAGGCAGCTACTTTACAACTTGAGAGGAGTTGAGATTGGGAAATTGAGTCACTCTGGGGCAGTAGTATGTTCCCTTTACAGATGATGGTTTCTTACATGAGGTGTTCCCAGACAGCAGGCTTCTTTAGGCTGCTGACCCACAGGGATAAAACTTTGTGGAGCATGGACTAGAATATGTAACAAATTTGGGCTGATCATTTTTCCTTAGGAAAATTAGTTTGAACTAATATATTGGCTGAGTTCTGACAGTCCAACAATTCTTTTTTCCCCTAATAATAATTAAAAGTTTCTGTTGGTGTGATGATTAAAGTATAGATGAGCTAATGACATAGAATTTTAATTATTCCTACTTGATTATTTGCTGTTTGAAGAATAATCAGAAATGTTTTTGTTCTTTCATTTTAAACACTACTGAGCATAGGTTGCCCCTATTATGCTCTCCTAGTCACCACTACTTTTTCCTTTATAGCACTACCACAGTTATAACTTTAAAAGTTGACTGGGGGGCTGGAGGGCTCAGTTGGTTAGACATCTGCCTTTGGCTCAGGTCGTGATCCCAGGACCCTGGGATCAAGCCCCGCGTTGGGCTCCCCGCTCAGTGGGAAGCTTGCTTCTCCCTCTGCCCTGCTGCTCCCCTTGCTTGTGTGCGATCATGCACTCCCTCGCTCTCTCTCTCTCTGACAAATAAATAAATAAAATCTTTAAAAAAAAAAAAAGTTGAGAGGGTTATGAATATGAGCATTGTGAAGTCAATCCAGGTACAATTTGGAAGACTGTTTCTGATTAAGAAGTGTTCTAGGCTGCTCTAGATGTAGTTATTTATTAGATTTCCTTCAAATGGAATACACACTAAAGATGAAATTCCTTCATGCCTTAGTCTTTATAGACTTCAATATTAGATCAACAAAAAGTGAAGTCATGATTTTTGGACAGAGAAAAGTACTTCTAAAACCATGAGATTTTAGTTAGGACTTAATCCAAAAACAAGATGCAAAATAATTGACCTTTATTACAGACAAGGATTTAGTAGAGAAAACTTCATTATCTTTAGTCTAAACTAATTAAAATCTTCCAATAAAGAAGAAACACTATTGGATGGGGGAATGAGCAAAATGGATGAAGAGGAGTAGGAGATACAGTCTTCCAGTTATAGAATGAGTAAGTCAGGAATAAAAGGCGCAGCATAAGAAATACAGTCAGTGGTATTATAATAACATTGTATGGTGACAGATGGTAGCTACACTTGTGGTGAGCACAGCATAATGTATAAACTTGTATCACTGTGTTATATACCTGAGACTAACATAATGGTGTGTCAACTAACCAAAAAAAAGAGTTAGAACCACCACTATTTTGATAATGTTAGTAGAGTTAATTTGTATACTGATACTCTTCTCAACTGATTTTGAGTACTGAATCAGAGACTTGATAATATCAATATAAATTTGTAGCTATTACAGAGATATTTTTGGTCCTAGTTTATGTAACATCTACTTCCTCTGGCATTTTTTTTCACATTTAGTAGATACTTTATACAAATTTTAGTTTTCAAATTCTTTTCCAATGTTCTTTTTAATGATAGGCAATTATTTCACCTGAATGTAATTTAAGTGAGTCTATACAGTGTGAAATGTGAGGAACTTAATATGCTGTTAGGATTTTAATTTTGAAATTGAACAACAAACTTAGGTATAGTGTAGATTACTGATGGGAAATCAGATATGAAGTATTTACTAATAAAATGGTGTATTCTATGAAAACCTACAAGATAATATTGATGTTTATTTTAATACCATTGAATTAAATGAAACACCATATTCCCAGTCCATCAGGTCTTACTTTGTAACATTCTAGAGATTATTAAATTGTATATATAGCATGAGACTAGCCACATTTGGAGGTATTGAAAGCTCTAACTTTAAAATGATCAAGTGATGTAACTTGATATAACTTGAAGATGTACTACATACACAACTGCATTTGAGATATTTTGGCAAATCTCTCCCAAGATGCCTTGAGAGAGAACATGTAAATTCATAACATCCTAACCAAATGTTCTGACTGTAAAATAAGAATTGGCGGGATTATACTTGGGTTTAGGTATCTTAATGCTGAAAATCTTTTCCTGTAGGACCGAGGTGATGAATTCACATACACAGGGAGTGGTGGTAAAAATCTTGCTGGTAATAAAAGAATTGGTGCACCATCGGCTGATCAAACATTAACAAACATGAACAGGTACTCTTTATTGTTAGAGTTTGTAAAGACTATCTATTTGGGCTTTGTATAAAAGTTTGATTATAGTAATATAATTTGTAAGTTAGACTGTAGGGGAGAATCTTAAATTGAGAGTTAAAGATCTAAATTTAAAATCCCATTACCTGATTATATAATTGTAAGCATTCTAACTTATTTCTTCATACTGTTTTTTAAATGACATAATTCCCAGTCTTAATACATGTGTTTTGCATTTGAAAACATGTTGAAACATTTGAAGGAAGGGAACCTATATAAGTGAAATTGAGGACAAGGTGGCTATCTACTATCCCATAGGTCAAAGTTATGTTTTACTCAACACAGATTTATCTTTTAAAGTAACAGACTTCTTAAGAGACTCACCAGTGTGAGATAGGTTTAAGTTTGGGAGCCGTATTTGTGGGCATAAGTGAAACATCAGATAAACTTAATCAGAATTACACTTAAGGTGCTTTTAGAATTTATAATAACGTCTCTTAAGTGTTATAAAAGAATGTTTAGTTACAAAAGTGACCTTTTCTAAGTAAATACTTATAAAGCATTACAAAAGAGCCACCTTGTGCTGACCTTTGTTCTATAGAAGTATTAATGATATTCCAGCTTCCATGGGAACAAAAAAATGACTTCAAAATGTTTTATTTCATATATGCATGCTATAGCAATAATAAAAAAATGACCCACACCATCAGATAGCAATGACCACATTATAACTTGTCGTATTGATAATTTTTTGACCAATTTCATAAAGTTGAAATTTTTATATCCTATTGTTAAGGGTGTTTTATGGATTGAGTAAAAATGAGTATTTTTCTTTCTTGAGTCTAAATCACTCGGTTTTAAGTAGTGTGCCCTTAATTTCTGATTACCGTGTGAAGTAAAGAATACACCAGTATGATTTCAAGAATTTGTTGCATACCAAATTACATACAGTCTGTTTTTATGTCTTCCTTCTATATTATTTCTGACAGTAGGATTATTTAACTGAACCAGCAGAGGAGACAGGTCAGATTTGCTGGTGAAAACATTCCTGAGGCAGGAGTCCAGTCCCTAGCTAGTATTTTTCTAGCAAAATAGCAGGTCTTCAGGAGGAATGATCTTAAAAAGATTTAGAAATATTTTGATGTGTTTTTGTCAGTGAAAGTGTTTGTTGAATTTGTAAAAGGGCTTTTTTACATTGTCAAATTTGAAAATAATATTTACCTTTTAATAACAATAGATTATTTTGCTTGAATGAAGTTTGTTTCCTAACTTCCTGCATTTGTAATATACATGGTAAATATTTTCCAAGCTTTTAAAGAATCTAATAAGTATAACCCTGTTTGCCATATGTTATAATCTTATTAGAAAATAATTGACAAGTAGTAAAAATGTTTGGATTGAAAGGAAGGTAGTGAATATAAAATATTAACTCAGAACCATTTAGGATTGACTTTTCATAGGGACTCTGACATCCATTCTCTTAGTTTATACATTAAGCTTTGAGTATGCCTTGTGATTGTAAAGACCTCTGGGCAAAAGATACCTATATGTTTTATAAGCATGAAGACCGAGGTGAAAGACCCTTAGCTCTGCATCATATTATACTCTTTCCTAACTAGCATATGGTCCAGTTCATTTTTGCTTCTCCACTAAGAGGTAGTTTGGTGCCTGCTTCTTGCTTTGAAAAGTTTGTTCCTATTTCCTCTCAGCTCTTTCACTTTATGAAACTGAAGAGGGCAGCAAGGTAACCTGGCCTTCCTTTATCAGGGCAGTTAGAAGCAATTGATTAAGCTGCAGAGTAATGGAAAAGCCTTGTTTCACCTAGTTTGATCTTAGATTCTTTTCACATACTTGAACAGCCTACATACTTCTGTGAAGCTAGAAGTGAGTTAATAATGCCAGTTAGGGGTGGCAATCATTCTGAATGAAGGTGCCTATAAGCACCAAGGCATTCCACTCATTAATGTGAAAATAGTATTTGTCCTTTTCCTAGCTCTTTAAGAAGATGAAGTATGTATATCTCAATAGGTATTACATAAATAAGATGGAATACTAGCCCTAGAAGTTTGGCTACATTTTCTTCTACCTCCCAGAGATTTAATGCATCTACCTTTGAGATAAAAAAGATAACTTGGTAAACTTTAACTATTTGACCACATTTATAAAAGTTTTTTTTTTTTTAAACGAAACACTTTGAGTTTATTTACTTTAACAGTATAACTGATCAAGAGATCTGAATAGATTAGACGTTTAGTCATAAGGTCAATTTTTTTTTATTTGAGCCTACGTAAAATTATACCCTGAAAAAGTATTTTGTATCATACCTGAATTTACCAAATTGGGTGTGTATGTGTTTTAACCTTACATGTTCTCAGTGGTTTCTTTTCACTTAAGTTAGGAAGTAGGTATCTGAGAAGAAGAATACTAATTTTAAATAGATTCTAGTTTGGTGGGGTCTTTTGCGGGGGGGGGGGGTGTTGTTTTGGTTTTTTGTTTTTGTTTTTTGACAGGACTAAGTTCTCCCAAGAAAGGTCTTCTTACATAACCTTACTGATTAATTACTACTAAGTGAGTACACATACTAAGGAAGCTTCAACTAAATCAGGTGCTGCTTCTCACTCAGTGTTCCTCCTTGTTCACATGTCATAGTAAAAATAGTGATCTGGAGGAGCCAAAAATCTTTATTGTCATGATTTAACACAGACATTTGAATGCTTCAGTTTTACTTAAATTTTTTACTCCAAGTCTTTAAACAATATTCTCATATTAAACTTGTTCTTTAATAGCTTCTAAACATTAAGGATTCTCTATCGTCTGGAATATGGAAAGTAGACCTAGAAAGGTCATTTGTACCTTGCTGACAAATTTATTTTCCTGGATTTCTTTCTACATTATTCCAGCAATTTACCTCACTCCCTTATCAAAAATAAATACTACAACAATCACTTGCTTTAGTTTTCCAACTTTCTCCCTTCCCTCAACAAACGTTATTTTAAAAAAATTCCATGTATTTCTAGTTGTTTTCTATTATACGTGGCACAGATGTTATTACTTTCAGAAGAACCCTACAGGCTATCTGAGAACCAATCCCCTGGCTTGGGGGTGACATCAGAAAACTGATTTGTCTTCTCTGCTGGTGGGGGAAAGCATAATCCTATTATCTGGAATAATATGGAAAGAATCATAGAATCTTAACCATCAGGTAAGGCATAATTCACCTTTTAATTGAGCTAATAATGCGATTATATACTTAAAGATTACTTGGTATAAAGAATTTGTTTTATTTTTTAGGGCATTGGCCCTAAACTGTGATGCTCCATTGGATGATAAAATTGGAGCAGAGTCTCGGAATTGGAGAGCTGGTAAGCCAGTCAGAGTGATACGCAGTTTTAAAGGGAGGAAGATCAGCAAATATGCTCCTGAAGAAGGCAACAGATATGATGGCATTTATAAGGTGCTCTATCTGGCATGATATCTTGTTAGTCATTCTTCCTGGGCTTTCAAGTTCCCTTGCCAAAGGGAACTACTCTACTGGGGTGGGCTAAAGGAAAGAGTAGATCACCTTAGTTGGTACTTCTGCTTTTTCTGGAAATGTAACAGATATACAAAGTGAGCTTCTAACTTTGATACTTTTCTCTTACCACTTATTTGAAGTCTGTAAGGGCAGAGTTACATTTTGAGTTAAGCTTTTTGTGAGTATATATTCTCTATGATAAAACTAAATAATGTGGCCATTGTAGATACTGATTCTTTTAATTGTAATAGATTTTCAAAGCCAAGCACGTTATAATTTGTAAAATAGGTTGTTTAAAACACGGAGGCATTTACTGCCACCATTTTTATCTGTTATGCAGGAATCTATTCATGAGCATAATCTTGTTAATATTTCAAGTTTATAGCAATGTGTACTTATATGGGAGCTATCTTAATTAGGAAATAAGGTCAAAACAATATCTTAGTGAATATTTTTTATTTACTGTTCCTACAACAAAGCAAGCATCTTTTGAAGTTGCATTTAGTTCAGTCAAGTATACTTAAACTTGTAATATATTATGAATAAGTCTAAATATTAAATCTCAAACTACTACAAAATACTGTGATTTAGGTGGTGAAATACTGGCCAGAAATTTCATCAAGCCATGGATTCTTGGTTTGGCGCTACCTTTTAAGAAGAGATGATGTTGAACCTGCTCCTTGGACCTCAGAAGGAATAGAACGGTCAAGAAGACTATGTCTACGTTTACAGGTTAGATTACATTTGTCTAGGCTACTTGTATGTTCATAAAAATGTGCACCTCTGTAGTATCTTTGTGCCTTAACACTGGATACAACTCATGGCAATTGATCAGTGGACTTTTAAGGGGTGAGGAATGAAACCATGCAAGTATACAGAAGGAAAACAAGTAAAAAGGTGGCATTCTAGGTGTCAGACTGCCCTAAGACCAAGAATTGTGCTTGGGAAAAGCCAGGCCTTCAATGAAAAGTAAGATATTTCAATTCAATTTGGAAATGACTTGAAGAATGAGGGAGAGGGATACATAAAATTTACATAAAGGAGGCCTTAAGAAGGGAAGTTTATCCTAGAGGGCACAGGGGGTGTGTCTCTGGTAGGGGAAGGGGGAGGTGGCTTGTAAGAGTGGTCTGCTTCCTACCCTTCTCACTTTTCCTCACCCCTTTTTTCTCTTCCCCCTCAAAGCTGCTTCCCTGTCCTGTCACCACCTTTAGTGCTTTGCCTTTTTTTTTTCCCCTTTGCCCATGTTCAGCTGTTAACCCATTTAAGACTTTGTTGGTTTTGTGTGCATAATGGATGGTATGGCTACATTCCCCGTCCACTGCCTATGCACCCTAGACTTTGTCCCTGACACTGACTTCAGAGCATGGTTTAAGTTCATCCTCCCATCATTCCCCATTGTTGTGCTTCCTGTAAAGACTACCAGCGTTTCATTTCCCCTGGCTCTGCCCACACTGCATGTGTAGGGGCTGAACTATGGGCAAGTGTCTGACCACCCAGGCAGGTGAGTGTGTGTTTTCTAGTGCAAGTCTGTGTCTGTTTTTGTTTTCTTTTTAAACTCGTAGAATTAATTGTTTCATTAATTAAATGAGACCCATCGGCTGCTAAAATAACTGCCAAAATAATTCTTTTTATAACAATATAAAAAAATAACTTGTTAAATCCATTTTTAAAAGATTTTTTCAGATTCATTGTTCAGCAGAGCAGTGTTCTAGATAGGTTAGATTTGAAACTGTAAGCAGAAGCATGTAAGCCCATCTACTATGATAAGTTAATAATATCATTGATGGGGCCTAAAACATGTTGAGTTTTAAGTATCAGTGTTAATCAATAAAGCGTGTCCCCCAGAAAAGGGTAGCCAGTAAAACACAAATAGGTAGACTTTATTCCTTAAACTCGAACCTTTAGCTGATAAAGAATTAGTAATTTAGTGGCTTTAGGTCTTCTAAAAGCCCCATCCCCCCTATTTTGGTAGATAAGAAATTTAGCCCTTAATGTTGGGGGGGTAGGAGTTGTTTTGTTTTGTTTTTTAAAGATTGGCTCCACAATTGAGTGTAATACCATCTGTATGAGTACTGTACTGTACTCTGTGGTTGATCTTCACTTACTTCATATCTAGATTCTTCTCTTCCTTAAACTTCTTAAGCCACCTAGTCAAATCTCCTGAAAACTTGTCTTTCCTCTTTTAGATCTGGAACTAAGATTATTATTTTATAAAATGAAATATCTTAACAGTCATAACTACATGGTTTTACACTGAATTGGGGATTTTAATAGTCTTCTGTCCTTTAAATGTCTGTTTCCTTTATATAAAGTCTCTCAGTTTAGGAAAATATACTCTTCACCCCTCCCCTTTTTAAATTTCTCAGCAGCATCTAGAACAACCCTCCCCCCACCACTTCTTTGCGAAGCTTAAATCTATATTGTACTTTTTCCCCTATCAGTATCCAGTAGGTTACCCTTCAGATAAGGAAGGGAAGAAGACTAAAGGACAGTCAAAGAAGCAGGCCAGCGGAGCCTCAAAAAGGCCGACTACAGATGGTAGGTAATGATTACAGGCATAAGTCCTAAAAATGTAGTTACTCATAAAGAAAAATATTAAGAGAATGAATTGAGAAACTCATAAGAAAAGCAATATTTGGGAGTGGTGGAAAGGCGTGAGACTTTTTGTGTATTTTAGTAGTGCTGGAGCCAAAACAACAGCAAATGTAGTATTCTAAACTCCAAGGGAAGTCAGGTGCTGCTTAATGCAGGTTATCTTCGTGCTAAACATTAATGGTGCCAGTTAACTCTTTGATCTCATAGTTCTGTTTGGAATCACTCAGAAGTCTGCTTATGTATTTTTAAATAAATCTAGATGGTTGTCCAAGTGCCTCCAAAGTGTTAAAAACACCAGATTCAGCAGAAGCAGTTGAGGCTTTCCAACTAACCCCTCAACAACAACATCTAATTAGAGAAGATCACCAAAACCAGAAGCTATGGGATGAAGTGCTTGCATCTCTTGTGGAAGGTCCAGTATGTAAAGGTTTTTTTAATAATAATGTTCTAATATTAACAAGTAGTGAAAAATAATACTCTTTGCAAGTCAGTCAAAACTTGATGTTTTTATGTAATCCTCTCATCCAGTAGCCACTACCTTTCAGAAATAATCTGAAGTAATACTTAAATGCTTTTAAATTGATTTTAGGCCTCTTAGTTGTTGGTTTTGACCTCTATGTGCCTGAACTTATTCATTTATGTTGAAGGCATGATGAAGGCACTGTTCATGGGAAGAATTTTTGGTTTGTATAACACAATTTAAAACTCATCGGGAAATTTTTTGCTGTAGTTCAAAGTTATTCTGATGGTGTAAATCTTAAGCAATTCAGCACATGTTTAACCTAGTGGTTAAAAAAAAACACAAACTGTTAATTTATTTAAATACTTTATATGTTTTAGATTTTTTCCCCATTTTTTGGTAATCATAACATTTTAAAGTGAAAAGGAATTACAACTGATGTGTTGATTTTGTGTTACACTGTATTTTGCAAATGAAGCTTTCTTATCAAATTCCAGAAGCTGGAATTTTCAAATATGAATTGTCTATTCTTTCTTTGTTCACTTGCTTTTATTTCTTTAATTTTGCTTAAAATTAGAATATTCCATTTTATTAGATAGTAACCCCTTATTAGGTGTGATATAGTTATTTTTCTGGGTTTTTTCCTCCGTGCAACTATTGTGGGTGAGCTTGAATTTTTATCGTGTCATCGTCTAATAATTTCTTCTTTCCAGTGTTCCCTTTATTTCTGTACATTCATTAGCCAGAACTTCTCATGTGTCTGAAATGGGGTTACTTACCTTTCTGTCTAAATTTAGAGAGAACTCTCAGTTTTTGTGTTGCTTTTTATTGAGAAATAGTCATCATATTAAGGAAGAATGTTCCCTGGTACAATTTTTAACATCCATTTATCTATTTATAGTCATTTATGTATATGTATTTATATATATATATATATATATATATATATATTTTTTAACATTTTATTTTTAAGTAATCTCTACTCCCAATATGGGACTCAAACTCAGAACCCCCAGGTCAAGAGTCACATGCTCTACCGATTCAGCCAGAGGCACCCAGGCTTCCCTATTTATTCATTTTATTTTATTTATTTATTTTTTATTTTATTTATTTATTTTTGAGTAATCTCTACCCCCAACGTAGGGCTCAAACTCACACCACCAGGATCAAGAGGCTCATGCTCTACAGACTGAGGAAGCCAGGTGCCCCCAATTTTTTTTTTCCATTTTTTTAAGTTAATCACCATACATTACATCATTAGTTTTTGATGTAGTGTTCCATGATTCATTGTTTGCATATAACACCCAGTGCTCCATGCAGAACGTGCCCTCTTTAATACCCATTACCAGGCTAACCCATCCTCCCACCCCCCTCCCCTCTAGAACCCTCAGTTTCTTTTTCAGAGTCCATAGTCTCTCATGGTTCATCTCCCCCTCCGATTTCCCCCCTTCATTCTTCCCCTCCTGCTATCTTCTTCTTCTTCTTTCTTTTTTTTTTAACATATAATGTATTATTTGCTTCAGATACAGATCTGTGATTCAACAGTCTTGCACAATTCACAACACTCACCATAGCACCTACCCTCCCCAATGTCTATCAGCCAGCCACCCCATCCCTCCCACCCCCCACCACACCAGCAACCCTCAGTTTGTTTCCTGATTTAAGAATTCCTCATATCAGTGAGGTCATATGACACATGTCTTTCTCTGTTTGACTTATTTCGCTTAGCATAATACCCTGCAGTTCCATCCACATCGTTGCAAATGGCAAGATCTCATTCCTTTTGATGGCTGCATAATATTCCATTATATATATATACCACAAGAGGGACATCTTGGCTCTTTCCACTGTTTGGCTATTGTGGACATTGTATCTGTAAACATCAGGGTGCCTGTACCCCTTCAGATCCCTACATTTGTATCTTTACGGTAATACCCAGTAGTGTAATTGCTGGATCATATGGTAGCTCTATTTTCAACTTTCTGAGGAACCTCCATACCGTTTTCCAGAGTGGCTGCACCAGCTTACATTCCCACCAACAGGGTAGGAGTGTTCCCCTTTCTCTGCATCCCCGCCAACATCTGTCCTTTCCTGATTGCTAATTATAGCCATTCTGACTGGTGTGAGGTGATATCTCATTGAGCTTTTGATTTGGATTTCCCCGGTGCTGAGCTATGTTGAGCACTTTTTCATGTGTCTGTTGGCCGTTTGGATGTCTTCTTTGGAAAAATGTCTGTTCATGTCTTCTGCCCATTTCTTGATTGGATTCTTTGTTCTTTGGGTGTTGAGTTTGATAAGTTCTTTATAGATTTTGGATACTAGCCCTTTATCTGATATGTCATTTGCAAATATCTTCTCCCATTCTGTCAGTTGTCTTTTGGTTTTGTTGCTGTTTCTTTTTTGTACAAAAGCTTTATGTCTTGATGAGGTCCCAATAGTTCATTTTTGCCCTTGCTTCCGTTGCCTTTGGCAATGTTTCTAGGAAGAAGTTGCTGCGGCTGAGTTCGAAGAGGTGGCTGCCTGTGTTCTCCTTTAGGATGTTGATGGACTCCTGTCTCAGATTGAGGTCTTTGAACCATTTGGAGTCTATTTTTGTGTATGGTGTAAGAATATGGTCCACTTTCATTCTTCTGCATGTGGCTGTCCAATTTTCCCAACATCATTTGTTGAAGAGACTGTCTTTTTTTTTTTTATTCTTATGTTAATCCCCATACATTACATCATTAGTTTTAGATGTAGTGTTCCATGATTCATTGTTTGTGCATAACACCCAGTGCTCCATGCAGAATGTGCCCTCCTCAATACCCACCACCAGGCTAACCCATCCTCCCACCCCCCTCCCCTCTAGAACCCTCAGTTTGTTTTTCAGCGTCCATCGTCTCACATGGTTCGTCTACCCCTCTGATTTCCCCCCCTTCATTCTTCCCCTCCTGCTGCCTTCTTCTTTTTTTTTTTTTTAACATATATTGCATTATTTGTTTCAGAGGTACAGATCTGAGATTCAAAAGTCTTGCACAATTCACAGTGCTTACCAGAGCACATACCCTCCCCAGTGTCTATCACCCAGTCACCCCATCCCTCCCACCCCACCCCCCACTCCAGCAACCCTCAGTTTGTTTCTTGCGATTAAGAATTCCTCATATCAGTGAGGTCATATGATACATGTCTTTCTCTCTTTGACTTATTTCGCTGAACATAATATCCTCCAGTTCCATCCACGTCGTTGCAAATGGCAAGATCTCATTCCTTTTGATGGCTGCATAATATTCCATTGTGTATATATACCACATCTTCTTTATCCATTCATCTGTCGATGGACATCTTGGCTCCTTCCACAGTTTGGCTATTGTGGACATTGCTGCTATAAACATCGGGGTGCACGTACCCCTTCGGATCCCTACTTTTGTATCTTTGGGGTAAATACCCAGTAGTGCAATTGCTGGATCATATGGTAGCTCTATTTTCAACTTTTTGAGGAACCTCCATACTGTTTTCCAGAGTGGCTGCACCAGCTTGCATTCCCACCAACAGTGTAGGAGGGTTCCCCTTTCTCCGCATCCCCGCCAACATCTGTCGTTTCCTGACTGGTTAATTTTAGCTATTCTGACTGGTGTGAGGTGGTATCTCATTGAGGTTTTGATTTGGATTTCCCTGATGCCGAGTGATGTTGAGCACTTTTTCGTGTGTCTGTGGGCCATTTGGATGTCTTCTTTGGAAAAATGTCTCTTCATGTCTTCTGCCCATTTCTTGATTGGAGTCTTTGTTCTTTGGGTGTTGAGTTTGATGAGTTCTTTATAGATTTTGGATACTAGCCCTTTATCTGATATGTCATTTGCAAATATCTTCTCCCATTCTGTCGGTTGTTTTTTGGTTTTGTTGACTGTTTCCTTTGCTTTGCAAAAGCTTTTTATCTTGATGAAGTCCCAGTAGTTCATTTTTGCCCTTGCTTCCCTTGCCTTTGGCGATGTTTCTAGGAAGAAGTTGCTTCAGCTGAGGTCGAAGAGGTTGCTGCCTGTGTTCGCCTTTAGGATTTGGATGGACTCCTGTCTCACATTGAGGTCTTTCAACCATTTGGAGTCTATTTTTGTGTGTGGTGTAAGGAAATGGTCCAGTTTCATTCTTCTGCATGTGGCTATCCAATTTTCCCAACACCATTTGTTGAAGAGACTGTCTTTGTTCCATTGGACATTCTTTCCTGCTTTGTCAAAGATGAGTTGACCATAGAGTTGAGGGTCCATTTCTGGGCTCTCTATTCTGTTCCATTGATCGATGTGTCTGTTTTTGTGCCAGTACCATACTGTCTTGATGATGACAGCTTTGTAATAGAGCTGGAAGTCCGGAATTGTGATGCCACCAGCCTTGCTTTTCTTTTTTCAACATTGCTCTGGCTATGCGGGGTCTTTTCTGGTTCCATACAAATTTAAGGATTATTTGTTCCATTTCTTTGAAAAAAGAGGATGGTATTTTGATGGGGATTGCATTGAATGTGTAGATTGCTCTAGGTAGCATTGACATCTTCACAATATTTGTTCTTCCAATCCATGAGCATGGAACGTTTTTCCATTTCTCTGGGTCATCCTCAGTTTCTTTCATGAGTATTCTATAGTTTTCTGAGTACAGATCCTTTGCCTCTTTGGTTAGATTTATTCCTAGGTATCTTATGGTTTTGGGTGCAATTGTAAATGGGATCGACTCCTTAATTTCTCTTTCTTCTGTCTTGTTGTTGGTGTATAGGAATGCCACTGACTTCTGTGCATTGATTTTATATCCTGCCACTTTACTGAATTCCTGTAGGAGTTCTAGCATAGATTTATCTCTCTTTGACTTATTTCGCTGAACATAATATCCTCCAGTTCCATCCACGTCGTTGCAAATGGGGTGGAGTCTTTTGCGTTTTCCACATAAAGTATCATATTCTGCAAAGAGTGAGAGTTGGACTTCTTTGCCGATTTGGATG